TCCTTTCCCGCTCCCTGGCGTGATCCCAGCCCGCCTCTGCCCCGGGACATCAACCCACGGCCTCTTCCACCATCCAACCCTTTATTTTGCCTCTAGCCATTCTCCACTCCTCCCATGCCCTGTCAGCCATGTTAGTCCTCTCTCCGTGGACAGTCCTGAAGCTTTCACCAGCCCTGGAGGGGTTCAAAAAATGGGCAGAGGTGGCACTTGGGGCCATGGTTTAGTGGGCATGGGGGCGGTGGGTTGATGGTTGGACTGATGGTCTTAGATTAATGATTCCTAGTTTAATTAAAAAATAATCCAGCCACCAAGCCAGGAAACATGAAATTATGACTCTTCCCTTAATTGGTTTAGGGTGGACTTGGCAGTGTAGGTTAATGGTTGGACTGGATGATCTTACAGATCTTTTCCAACCTAAACGATTCGATGATTCTTTGGGGCTGGAGATCACCCTGTCTGAAAAAGGGCCCCGTCGGTAGCACGGGTGGAAAGAACAGGCTTCTCAAAGCTGAAATTCTGCCTCTGCCAGGGCACAGCGGGAAAACTTCGCAATAGGGCTGCACCTCGCGCGCAGGGACAGGCGCTGTGTTTACGGCGTGCATCATTTATGAGGAGATTTCCTTCGCGTGCTGGGAGGAACAGCGTTTCTCGGCTGGAGGCAGATACCCGCAGACCTGGATTTATGCCCAGCAGCACCTCTGCGTAGCGTTACGGTGCAAGTTGTGCTTCTCTCTCATGGTCAAGAGCCCAGTGCAGTTTGCAGATGCCGGGATTCAAAGGCAGCTAGCAAGTGCAAGTCCCTGGGGTTGATAAAATCCTGAGCTGTCCGTAAACCTCTGCTTCTCTTGGAGCTGGGGGACAGGCGGCTGGCAGCTCGTCGCCCAACAACGGGGGTTTGGGCAGCTCAGCTGCCTGGACAGAGTAGCAGAGAAACCAAAACCCGCCATGGGATGGGCTCATTTCCCGGTCGGCAGGCTCTCCAGCAATCTGTTGTCCAAAGGCAGACCCAGCTCTCGCCACCCAAGGCCCAGCACCACCGCACTTCTCGCCCCTCCAACAAGCGAGGGCTGTTTTGGTCCCGGCTGCTCAGTGGGGAAGGGAGCAAAGAGGAGAAACACCACATTTGGGAGGGATGCTGGGCTCTCTGGGGTTGTTAATGCCACACCACTTGCAAGGAACTTCAAAAGGTCCTTACAAAGGGCGGCCAGATGAGTTTCAACATAGATAAATAGAAAATAATACGTGTAAGGAGATGTAGTCTAAACAAGGCTACACAATAGTGATCCCAAAGCTGCCAGCTCCAGTGCCTTGGAGCCAGTGCTGGCACTCCAGTTTACCAATTACCAATCCAGTTCCCAATCCCGCTGTGTGGAGATACCTTGAGGGAAAATGAAAGTGAGGATGAGGAGAAGTCCAAGTTCTGATTGCACTTTTTTTTTTCTCTTTTGCAAATTTGTTTACCTTTCTAATAAAAATAAAACCAAGTGCTCTTGTATTCCAAGCAGCTGCAGTGCCTTTCCAAGAACAGTTATTAACGATCATGATTTGCAAGGGATGTAAGCTGCGCAGGAATTCGCGATGGAGCCCGGAGGAAACCGCCGCTCCCTCCAGTCCCCATAGCCCTAGCAGCCGGCAAGACCAACAAGCTCCTTCACTTCCCCCAGCATCTGGCCAGTATTGCCCACACGTACAAAGTACTTGTGTTATTACGGAGAACAGAAACATCAAGCTTGGATGCAAAGGACCTGGGAACACTGCTAGCCCAAAGAACACGTGAAGCAGCAAACGTGATTAAATCAGCCCTGATTAAGAACTTACAATCAAAGAGCTTTACTGACAGACAGCCTGGAAACTAGCCTTCTGGAGAGCTGCCAGGAACACCCAGGATCATCATCAGTTTTAAATCACTGGAGACATAATCAAACTCAGCAAATTTTGTAAGAACACAATTAAAAAAAAATAAGACAACATACAAAACCACAACTGAGAGGACACAGAAATAAAACCAAGCTACACTTATCATTTTTCAATCTCTAAAAGTAATTTTTTTTTCTTAATGATCAAAAACCTGAATTGAGCCTCGGTGATAAATCGGGAACTACGCCAATCCTATTTAAGACAGCGAAAGTTTGTTTTGAAGCAGCATTTCAACCCTACTGCATTCCTGTCGACTAGGTTTCAGTGGCTACCTAAGGAATTTCTCCTTATTACTCCACCGGTAGCTTTGCACAGGCTTTTGCTTAATTCCGGGATCTTTCCGGCGCAGGTGGTTTGCCCAGCACCACCTCTGCTCCACGAGCAGATTACGGAACTGCACAGCAGTCTCCGTTCCACTCGACAGCATCTGTCATCCCAGTCACCTTTTAAGCTCCTTATCTGATCTGCCTCTTCCACGAGCACCTCTTAAGTCCTCAGACCTTCCTCTAGTAGCTCCCCTGATACAGAGGCTTTTAACCTTTACAAAGCAGCTCAGCCCTGCCCGTTGTAAGGACAGAAAACTGACTGCCAACAAGTGATGTTTTTCTAGTAGTTGTCTTTTCCCAACCCTTCTCCTCCCTTCCCATCACTTAAGGCACTTGAAGGCAATTTTTTTTTATAAAAAGTCCCTATATGCTCATAAATGCCTAAATATTCTGAATTACAGATGCCTCTTGAGCTCCCCTCCCCGCAAAAAAACCCACTAACAAAGAAGCCCCCCACAAACAAAACCCCAAGGGGTGGCATTACTACTCAGTAGCACGTTCAGCTTTTGGACTGGTGTGATTTTTCCTGTAGCTCACCGTTAGTAAGCTGTCTAGTACGTAGGTTCAGAAGTAAATTGCTAGCATTTTGTTGCAGTCAAGTGTCTTAATTTTTCTCCTCTTCCTCTAGCTTCTCTCTTCTTCCTCTAGTTTCTGTACTTAACACATATGCAACAATACTCTCAACTGCAAGAAATTTACAGTTGCCTATACTTCTGCAGGTATTTAAAAGAATCGTTTTAAGTTCTACATTCAAAGAACAACCCATCAGAAACAGAGTAGGGCAAATGCAAGAGCGAGCTGAGGGACATTACAAGATTTCCTTCTATTGTGGCTACAAAAGGACTGGGAAAATAGGTGAAAAGGGTGAATTCAGAGAGGTGGTTAAGAAAGAAAACCATGCTAGCAATGCTTATTTCTTCGAGCATCTTTCATTCATCCTCACGCAGCCTCGACTCATCTCCCCTGCTTCGGAGGGGCACCCCTCAGGTCACACAGCAATGCCGCAGCAGTCCCCAGCAAACCCCATGACATTAAATCCCCATGTTTAATAGCTCTGGAAATAACCTCACTTCTTCCAGCTGTTATCAGCTGGCGAGGCAGGCGTTAGCTCTGCTTACAAACCTGGCCTCACCTTGGGCAGCCACAGCTACAAGCGGCAAAAGTCACGGCCTGCTCCCCCTGGAGCTGCTGCCTTGGCAACCAATTATTCAGCACCACGCTTCTCATTTGTTCTCGCCAGGATGTTTCAACTGGGTAGCTGAGGTGGTCTCTCCAAATGATAAAAATCCTTGCCTTGAAGTTAATTAATGGGGATTTAGTTTAAACAGAAAAAAAAGCTGGTTCCGTTTTTCTGGAGTACATGCTTACTGCACTTGAAAATTCACTTTTCCTGTGCTTTTGCCCACATAGATATTGCCTATGCCAGGCCAGACTATATTAAGCAAGTAAGCTACAAAGGCTAAGGGAAAGGAAAGGAACAGACATTACAGGTCAAGAACTACTGTCCTGCACACCAACTTATGTTGCCATAATTTATTGGTTGCCGATTTAGACCAGTTTATACAAGTAACATGCAAGATGAAGAAAACCAGTCATTGATTACAAAAATATGGGTATCGCACAGCTCAACAATTCTGCGAATGGCAAATCCAGATCAAGGCTCAGTACAGGTAGCAAACGATGCATGTACCAATTTTTTTTCTCTCTAGTAAAAGGAATTGCTTTACTTATGACTAAAAGGCATACAGATGACCCAACACATTAAATATTCAATTAATCCTATTTGATAACTTGATTACAGCCAGAGAACCTGCTCAGATGCAGTAGCACACACAGAGAACACGGAGCCAGCTAGGAAACATGGAACTGCTCTGCTATGAGAACACACTTCAGCACGAACTGGGAAAGCCCTGCTTGAACTACAATTCATCAAGAGAGGACAGCGATTCAGTCAGCATACAGTGCTGAAATCTAATTGTATTTCAAAGTTACCAGTTTCTTTGGGTCTTCAACCAGTTGTTTCTGGTTTGAAACAGACGGCAGAATCTTAATTTGGAAGGCACCACCAACACCCCAGTGCCCACGAGCCAACAGAGAGCGCTCCGCCGACACGTCCCCTCCTGCTGTAATTCAGCATAGCTCGGGTGTGCACGGACCACTACAGCGCTTCACCCACAGCTACCAGGGAAGAGCAGCAAAGCCCACCTCGCCACCAGCCTCATCATTCCTAACCCATAAATAACTGGGGGGGCGGGGAAGCAACCCATGTCTCTTGCAGTGGAATTTTGTGCTCAATATTACATACCTTGCCAGTGAATAAACTCAAACAGAACTTCCATTAAAAACTGTAGGAGCTAAAAAAGTGCAGTGCTTAATATAATTAATCCCATTTTTACACTTTGTTGAGCTCTTTACATGATGTCTCTTCATACCATTCTCAGAGGTCAGTATTTGGCAATTTAAAGAGCTTGAACTCCTGATTTCTCCAACAAGAAACCACAAAACAGATTAAAATTAAAGCAAATTTAACAACAACAACAAAAAATCAAATGCCCAGCATATTTTCTTTTAAGTCACAGAAATTAAAAGCAGACGTGTATCTTGTCTTTTAAAAGAGAGCTTATCAGGATCTTTGTTTTATGTTGACTTGAGAGCATAAATGCACCTAAATGTTTTTTCTAAGGCTTCTTCCAGTTAATTAGAGTAATTTTGCTTTAAAAAAGGGTTTTGTTTATTTTCCTTTTCACACTGTAAATTAGTATTTGTATTAGCAACAGGTTGTGGTAAGTCTTGTTCTCATACAGGCTGTAGTATAGCAGCGTGCATCGTTCTTTTCCAAGCATCAGTTGCTCAATTTTCTAGGAGTTTATCACAAGGATGGCTAAGGTTTGCAGCGCTGGACAAAGCGTGGATAGAGACAGACATCTCGGATGTGGTGCCTATTCAGAATCCAGGTTAGGAATCGTTCTAATCCCAAACCATATCCACCATGAGGGCATGTACCATATTTTCTCTGTGAAATTAAAATCAGAGAGTAGATACTAAACATTTTCTTGTTACTTAGAATTGCAGTAATACCACCAGGAAACCAAAACAAACCAAACCAAAAACCAAAACAACCCACCCAAACAAACTCTTCCAAGATTATTTTCTGAATGAGGAGGAAAATGGACTATGCTCTTTTCAGGCAAGATATATGTGCTTACTTGTCCCGAGTTTCCTGGGGCAGCGTAAGGACTAGAAGAGGAAAGTGAAAGTCTTAATGATTCTTTTTCAATCCCCTCCTTTTCTCCTCCCCTTACACTAGCTAGAGCTTAGCCATTCAAGTTGGTAAAGACCAACCTCTCTTTATCTAACAGCAAGGGCTTCACCAACACTGCAGAAGACGTTATGAGAGGAACACCCCTGCACAGAGCAGTCTAATGACGGTGATCCGGTAAGGGCAGCATGCAACTGCAGCAAGCAGCAGCAATTTTAACAGAATGGAAACTGTTACCCACTGCATTTTGCCAATGGTTCAGTGACTATCTACTTTGGGCCACCAAAAATATGTTTCCAATTTAGACTGCATCATTTTAAGACCAGTTTAAAAAAAAAAATCAAATATCGTATCTGACAAGCAAGACATCTAATCTGTTTTACAAACCTGATCAGTATACCAGTAGTACGGCGTGGGATCAATGCCCTCTCTTTTATAGCCTTCGAGTAGCTCCTCGCTGTCCCAGATACGCATAGAGCCTCCAACAATTTCACCAACGTTAGGCATCAACACATCAACCTACAACACACAACATGAGATCAAACTATTACAATTAAGCTGTCTGCAGGAGGGGGAGGAAAAATAGCCTAAACTTAAAACAGTATTTCCATAACACATTTCACCACGTAATTTTAATTCCCCATCACAGGAAGGCAGGCAATTCCTTCCAGACCCAATTTATAGATGGAATAAACTAACTGACTAGGTGCTCTAACTTAATCTCTAATACTCTTACCACGCTGAACTGTAAAAAACCAAACAAAAAACACACACAAACCACCACAGAACCACCACCCAGCAGCACTCCTAGCGACCACCACTCCTCTGGCTGCCAGACAGCTAGCGTTTAGCCAGTGCAGCCTCCAAGAAGCCAGAGAAGTACTGTCATTAGACTAGCGCTTACCCGAGGTCAGTGAAGAGCATGCTCAATATAATCTACCGACATTTCATTAGCACTTCGGAGTTGCTTCATTTATTTCTACAAGATCAACAAACCACGCCAAAAGACACCCCAAAAAAGCCTGGTAAGAATTCTCCAAGATTTTCCTGGAGTACTTAATTCATTTTATGCTCACTCACGCTGACATTCCCCACTCTATTTAGAAGCCTGCGACACAACATGAAATACCAACTTACAGATTCAGTAAGTCGGGAATCATCATGACAGCGCTGCATATAGAAAGACTTTATCTCTGCAGGAAATCGGCACAACAAGATTGGCTCGTTAATGGTGTCCGTCATCAATCTCTCAGGAGCTTCAGGAATATCCTAAGGTTAAAGAAGGCTTTATTAATATTTAAAACCAAAACCCCTCCAATACCTTGAGTACCACATGCATCAGGCATGAAACAGACAGTTTCAGACCACACGTATCCACACATTCGTCCTAATGTACCTAAATTTTTAAAACAAACTTATCTTAGAAGAAGTTATATTTATATATAAAAACATATGGTGGGGGGATATCTGTTTTATTAAAATCCAAGCCTTCCCAATGTTTCAGACAGAAAACTGAGGAAAACCTGAAATGCAGACTTTGCAAACATCTAGTAAACACAGAAGAGCCTGATCTGCTTCCTCCCCAATACCGTTTTCCACAAACCTTAAGACTAAGAAGTTTAAGTGTTTCCTTGTTACGTATATGGCCTGTTTTTTAAAAACCTCAACTGATCAATTACATAGACGAGGTTATTTGGTTTTTATCGAAGGTTTCTGGCTGAAATTTGATAAACTGTAAAAAACACCTAGCAGAAGTTTCATTTTGATCAGTTCAGCACTTTTATTGCTTAAAAACTGGGGAGAAGTGAAGGATGACACCACAGTTACGTTGGCAGACAGGGAACATCAGGGACAATGTCATCATGGCTTACTGAATGAACACATTTTGTTTAGTCGGAAAACTCTATCACCAAAAGGTTTAATTTGAACTTTTATTCAGCCAATGGTATCACATTTTTCTTAGATTCTGAGACAGTCAGAAGATCTGATTTTTTTCTCTAATAGTAAAAACCAGCCACACCTGTTACATGTTTTAACCCAACTGAACACTGCTACAGCACTGACTGCTGCGGAAGGGGGGCAGAAAGGAGCCTACTATAGCACGCACAGCAAGGGAAGCGCAAGCAACATGGGCCTTGTGCAAGGGCAGCTCACAAAGCAAGTGTCAGCCTGCAATGGGGGAGAGGAGGCAAGAATCCTTATTTCCCTCTGGAACTTTAAGTTCAGGGCAGTTTGAAGGCCTCTCCCTCCCTTCAACTCTATCATCTTTGATACAGGTGGGAAAAACAGTAACAGCAAAACCCACAACACATCTGGTTTTGAGCTGCCAAGGTTCCCTCAGAATACACCGTGTAGACTTTGAAGTTAAACAATTGTATGCTCTCCTCCTAAAAATCTCACTTCTCTTAAATCCTTCGATGACTATGGCTACACCAAGTCTCTTGAGCTCCTTCAGATAATTTTGTCTTACATGTTGGAGAAGAGTGAGACAGGAACAACTGATGGACAGACGACAACACAGATTTTGGTTCCAATGTTCAAAGACATTATGGGAAAACCCAACCCATGCTTGCACTCCCCAACACGTCACTACACCTCCTAGCACAGTTCAGACAAAAATCCAGGCCTCACTAAAGTTTACAGCAAAACTCCCTTTAACTTAAACGAGACTAGAATTTCAGTCCTTATCGGTATCATTCCAAACAAAACACAAGAGATTCACACAGCAACAGTAAGCCCAAGAGCATCATGGTCAAAACACGCTATTCTTCAAGGGGCTTATACACCCTTAGCGCAGGGCTGTGGGATTTTGTTTGGTTTATTCCCAAAGAGCCTCACAAAGACTTACTTCCCCAAACTCATAGTACGTGCCATCTTCCTTCTTCACATCATGTTCCTTTAACCACTCAATGGCTTCAGTATAGTTCATGCGCCGGAAAGGACGTTTAGGGGGCTGGAAGCCCTGTAAGTAAGAGTAGATAAAGACAGTTTTAAGAGTACCATTTTTAAAGAATACTACTATTCTAGTCGATCATCAGCAAGTCCACTTCCAGACTCAAGGCATACACATTACTCTTTCCAGCTCACACATCAACAAATTACTTAAAAAAAAAAAAAAAAAAAAATGCCGCTCAGCACCGAGAAGCTAGAACCAAACACAACCATCTTCCAAGCCCAGTAAGGCTCACAGAACAGATGGCGAAGAAGATGGCAGGAGAGAAGTATTTTCAAAGCTGCTTCCTTTTCCGTATGAATTCACTGCACATGTAGGCGTTTCAAACTGAGCCGTTAGCAGAGGTTCCATGTGCAAGGCCACAAAAGAACATTTTTGCTTCCCTGTGCACAGAACAGCTCCAGCACCCACCTCTGTGAGGCAGGTTGTGCTTCTGCTATTTCCTACCTCCTGCCCCCTGTCGCAGCCCAAATTTAAAACCAAACCTCCCAGTGTTTATCAGGAAAATCGGTCAAAATAACAGGGATGACTGAGCTCGTATGCGCTCTGAGAGCAAAGCTAGTGATAGAGATAAAGTTAGCAGTCTCTTAAAGCCATCTTCTTTGCAAAGGTAACAGAAGACAAAGGGTCTCTAACAAATGAAAACAGCTTTACAGAGCTCAACATTCCAGGGTAGGAAGTAAAACACCAGTTGTTTCATTGCTCCCTTGTGCTCAATCTGCAAGTACCAGCCGATCAATATTACGAGCTCTGGGATAGAGGTTTTTATTCCACTGGTACAGTACACATTGCAATAAATCCCAGCACATTGCTGGCTCCTGGAACTTGCTAGCAGGGAACTTCTTTCCCCACAGTCCCCCGCTTCAGGAATAGTCATTACCAAGCTTGCAGCATTTTCATGCCTTTGACGTTATTTAATATTTTTCTTATTAATAAGAAGCAGGCAGAGTTCATCACCATGCCCTGCCTTCCCCAGATGAACACGCTGATCAGGAAAGCCTAAAGATCATATTTTCTTGGCTATTCATGACTGTTCCACATTGCTGCCTACCGGGTTTAGGTCATACAGTAAGCTTGATGCAGGTGACTTCAAGATTCTGTCTACTACATCACAAACCAAGCTCTCCAGACGGTCCAATAAATCTTCAAAAGTTATGAAAGGACATTCAGCTTCAATGTGAGTATACCTGAAACACGAAGTCACACCATTACAAAACCACACGCAAGCAACAAATCTTTAGCTATGAAAAAAAGTCTAATGAGAAAAAAAAACCCCAACCCAAGAACACACACTTTTGTCCCCTTTTTTGGTTCTCCCACTTCTACACTGTAAAGGAAATAAAGCCATAAAAAAAAGCAAGGAAGACAACAGTATGAACTGTATTTTCTAAAAAGACGAAGCTTCCTAAAAATGCATCAGCTTTGTTTCACCCAGATCCTCCTTTGCTAAATGTCAATGTATTATGACCAGCTGGGCATTCACTGAGACAAGGCACTACCCCCAAATATACTTTTGATCAGTCCTTCTGCATTAGCATTATGCCGTCTGCTCGCTGTACGTTACGTCACCCAACTGTCTGCTACTCCCCTGCTTTATAAATTCACTTATATATAAGTAACAAAGGCGTAGACTCTCTCCATACTCTGCCAAGTGTCTGCGGGTCCTGGATTGCTCAGCTCTGTATGACTGAGCAACACAGAAAACATCTCCTAGCGCTGGAATGCAGGTCTCCAGATAGAGCTGGGACGATTGTGTTAAGTATGCCTCTTCACCAAAATAATCCAGTTTGAATAGGGTTGAGCCTCCTTCCACCTGTGTCTGGACTAAAGTCGGTGGTGTGACCTGTAAAGAACGTGACTGTCATTAGCTGAGTGAAGAATTAAGGACAATGATGACAACACGTAAGAGCAGTGATGTAAGGCACACTCTCCCAGAACACCATCAACAGAGCTTTGGTATGCATGCATACGAGTACTTCAGTCTAATACCCTTCAGCACCCTAAAGAGAGGTACGCAGGCTGTTTGTGAATCACCCCGTAACACATGCCTCAGAAGTGTCTACACACCTTTGAGATCTATGTCTGTGAAAGCAATCAAATAATAGTAGTTTCCTAACAAACAGTTGTTCTTTTGCCTCTTTCACGTCAATTAGAAAGTCTACACAGTTTTTCCAGGAAAAAGATAGCCCTGAGGTCAGGACATGAAAGCAGTCGTTTGCTGACAAAGGAAAATATACTTACTTCATAATATCCATTGGCAAAGAAATGATCCCTGAAGGCCTGTACCACCATGGAGCGCACCTTGAAGATTTTGGACATATTCTCGCCTCGAATCATCATATGCCTGTTGTTAAGTTGCACATCAACCTCCGAATCCTCATTGAGTAGGTTGTCAGCCCCTCCTGCTGGGGCCAGACCAATAAGCTCCCAGTAATCACAGTTCAGCTCGTGGCCTCCTGGAGCCTGCCAATTTGAAGAGAAACAAAAATTTCACCAGTCCACTTTTTGCCCCTTGGATGTCACCATCTGGCATCATGGCAGAGATGTTAATCCAGTTTAAACAAAATTACTGCAGTATTTTCAAAGTGACTGCTTTGTAACTCAGTCATACCATGCTTGGAAGTGCCATTTGTAACCCACCATGAGTCTCTCAGAATGGGATTGAGTACTACAGGCAGATAATGAGCAGCTTCCAGATACATTCAGTTTAAGTATATCTGGGTTTATTCAGCTAGAAGAACAGAAAGCTAAGCAGGGGGAAACTACTTGCTATCTTCAACTATTTAATGGGTGGTTATAGAGGAGATGGAGCCAGACTCTCTTGGATGTGTCCAACAAAAGGACAAACGTCTCAAGGTGCAGCAAGGGAGATTTCAGTTGGCAATAAAGAAAAAAATTCTTCACAGGGTGGTGAAATGCTGGAGCACAGACCAAGCCAGACTGCAGTCTCCATCCTTGGAGACATTCAGAACACATCTGAACAAGACCCTTGGCAGCCTGACCTCACATTAGATCTTTTTCAAGAAGAGGGTGGACCAGATGACCTTCAGACGTTCCTCCTAACCAAAACCATTCTGTGGTAACTTACACTGTGTACTAGTTTTGGCTGGGATAGAGTTAGTTTTCTTCATAGTAGTTTGTATGGTGCTACAACACAACACGCTGGCACAAAGAACCTTTCTGTCTGCCTTAAGAACACTACACACACACTGAGTGAAGAGCCCTCCCATCTATCTGCAACCTGATCTAGTTGAAGATGGGCCTGCTCACTGCAGGGAGGTTGGACTAGATGACCTTTAAAGGTCCCTTCCAACTCAAACTATTCTATGATTCTATTAGGAGAAAATGCAGACCCAAGACTGAAGCATGACATTCAAGGTATTTTGTTCTTTTTACTACCTGAGCCACATTCTCCTACCGGATGGCAAACTTCAAAAAAGTTGAAAAAAGTTGCTTAGATCATGACAGGGGAAGAACTAGCTCACTATGGCTACTTTTGAGCTTGTCTGTCAGAGACACCCGAGCAATCTCCCTACACCAGGCAGCATCTCACCACAATGTGCAAATCGCAAGTTTCATGCTGGCTCATCTCCCCTGTCCTGTTTGCTGCCACGCAGCAAGCAGCGTTCCCTGCGCCAGGGCTCAGCCCTCTCCGGCTGCCCAGGCTATGGAACAGGCCTCTCATTTCTGGGCTCACCAGCTCCCCCGCGTGGGTCACAGTAGGCTTCTGTCCCCTAAAAGGTTGGTTTTTTCATTCACAGTATTTTCAGGGTATAAATGCAGATTTTCAAAGCCTAATCAACAGATTTTTACAAATCTGATGGTTTTGTTCACTAAAAGCATTGTATTATTCTGACGAGACATGAAAACATGAAGTGTTTTCAACGTCCAAAAAAAATTACGAGCAGTAACATACCACGAGTTACTTATGATTACCAAACTTCATAAAGTTGTTTAAACAAGTGATCCCTGTTTGGTTGCACTTATTTTCAGAAGTCCCAGTAGTGTAAGCTATGACAGAAAGGAAATCTTGCTAACTTCTGATCGGCAAACACAGCAGGGAGTGGATTCCCATTTAACTGAGCTTGGCTCTCTAACCTTAGGTCGATCTCTTGGGGATAGGACCAGAGCGGCAGGGACAACTAGAACAATTAATCCTATCCAAATTTCATTTGCAAAACATGCCAGTAATGGCCGACAGTACATGGCTTACAAGAAAATTTAATTATCTACAAAGCACCACAAAAGGTTAACACTTTGACCTTATTTTACACACTACAGGCAGCCACAGCAAGGGACTACTTCGCTCAAATATTGTCTAATACATCTTGGAAACATTGTTTGAAGGAATATAACACTCCAAAGTGTGATTCCCGCCCCCCCCATGTTTCTTCTCCCTGTTATCTTACTAGAGTTAGTACACTTACTCAAAAGACCAGACAAGAGACTATAGATTGCCAATCCACACAAAAGAACAACTCTTACTGCAAGAGCGGATGACAATTTTGAATATATATCTAAAAGAAGAGGTAAGCTTACAGGCTAGCAAGATTAAACATACACCTGTCCTCTAAATCTCAACATTACTGCTTTGCTTTTTCCTTCAGAAAAAAAGACGGTTACTATAAGCAGCTATCAAGAGCTCATGTCTTAAAAGGACGACTTAAGATTTAATAGAACAAGCGCAGCCTGAGCTTGCTTGCTGTTTCTGCTTTACAAGTTAAGCTTTGCAACACAGACACAACTTGCTTCTCTCCTGCCTTCAGTCTGCATCCTTTTTATGGGCCATCCTTCATGCACAGCTGTTTAACATGGCTTTAGCCCTAACTCCAGATACAAACAATCTTCCAAAACAGTAACAGTTTGCAGATCTAGACTGGAATGAGAAAGGCACAAGGCATAAACAGCATCATATTTTGAGACCTAAAATCACACCTGCCCAATCCATAAGTCTGGGACCACCATCATAAACAAAGTTTTACAAAACAAGTTATAGTAAAGTGCCTAGTTCATACACCTGCCAAGTGTTGGAGGACAAAGACAACATGGTGAAGAGCCTACAAACCCATCCCAGTAAAAGCAGAGAACTAACCCCAAATTCTTAGCCTCAGAAATAAAAACTGAATAAGCCTCTTGTTAGGGAAAATAAAGCTATGTTGTTTATTTAACATAATATTCCACTATTATATTCTAGGAAACATCTATGGGACCTATCAGTAGCAAACTGCTTCAGGCAGAAGTAGAACAGTCACATAGGTCACCTGTCGCACACTGAATTGTGGGTGACAGCTTTGGGATGTTTTTTTTCTCTAAACCAAATCCCACCAAAAACACCTAATAATTATTTCCACCTCTGCTTCTACTTCCATCAGGAAAATGATAAACTGTTGTGCTGGTTTTGGCTGGAGTAGAATTAATTTTCTTCACAGCAGCAAGTACGGGGCTAAGGCCTTTTCTGCTGCTCACCCCACCCCAGCAGCGAGCAGGCTGAGGGGCACAAGAAGCTGGGAGGGGACACAGCCGGGACAGCTGAGCCCAACCTACCCAAGGGATATTCCATACCATATGGCATCGTGCTCAGCATATAGAGCTGGGGGAAGAAGGAGGGGGAGGACATTCGGAGTGATGGCGTTTGTCTTCCCAAGGCACCGTTACGTGCAATGGAGCCCTGCTGTCCTGGAGATGGCTGAGCACCCGCCTGCCCATGGGAAGCAGTGAATGAATTCCTTGGTTTGCTTTGCTTGTGTGCGTGGCTTTTGCTTTGCCTATTAAACTGTCTTTATCTCAACCCACGAGTTTTCTCACTTTCAACCTTCTGATTCTCTCCCCCATCCCACCGGCAGAAGTGAGGGAGTGGCTGCGTGGAGCTTAGTTGCCAGCTGGGGTTAAACCACAGCAACTGTTAAAGAGGAGGAGAACCCAAACATGCTAACTCCCGTACCTGCTTGCCTTCAGGAACAAGGTTCAGCATGCCATACACTGCAACACTGCTCTCCGTAGAGAGAATTAGCCCGTTGTAACACTGACACTACAGAGAGGAAAAGAGACAAAGGCATAGTTAAGGCAATTTTTTATCTTTAGTTTTCCTACGACATCTATTTGAGTCACTGACAAGATTAACGCACAGTCACTTCTAAATAGTTCTCACATTGACAATAAAACTCCAGTGGTAAGAGATACAATTTAACAATAATACAACTTCATCAGTAGGTTTAGGAGAACTTCCAATTGTCTATATAAAAAAAAAAGACGTATGAGCACTTCACTTATTTAATGACAGAACAGAATTAAATCATCACAACTCACCAGTTCATCTGAAAGGACACACTGAAGAAAACCTGTGCCATCTCTCAAAACAATGAACATCAAATTTTTTCCTAGTTAAAAAGAAAAAAAAAAAAAAAAAGAGAGCCTTAGCTTTATTCACCGATCCATTTGAACAGACCCACTCCCAAGACACATTAATCACTGATGTGCAGATTATTACAGAAAGACTGTGATCACATTTTTCTATTTTTAAAACCAAAGATGCTCCATGTAAGCACTGAATCATTAGCAGTTACAGAAGCCTTTCACAGAGCTGTATTTTGTATAACGAGTTAAAATAAGTTTCAACAGGCATCAAGACCAAAGCCTGCTCCAGACTCAACAGGGATTGCACCGCCACGCCATGACTTCAAATGTCCCTCTGGTCCCAAGGGACTACAAGTCTGTTTGCAGAAATGCTGAATGCACAGGCCCAAGGCACGCCTAACACAGATAAAGCAACATCACCCTGGTCACTCACCTCTCCACAAAAATAATTACAAAAATAACTTGCTAGAAAGTGCTCATGATACCCAGATCCACAACCACTTAGTCAAGCCCTTCAGTGATCATTTGAACAAATACCTGTGGAGTCGGAACCACCTCCACCATACACTTCCATGCCCCGACCAACGCCACCTTGCTAATCAGAATACCAATCATTTTGATAGCAAGTATTACTTGCCAAACTTATTTTAAAAGAAGTTATGCTACTTTACATCACTTTAAAATTCCAATTTGCCTGTTTCACTATGAGCAGATGCTAGTTAACTCCTCAGTTTGTGTGATTAGTTTAACACAAAACAAGTCTTTTGAGGAAATTCTGCAGGACTGGCCTCCAAACTGAAAATCCCACAAGATTTCAACTAAGAAATGTCTATATGCTCATACATCATGCAGAATTTTCAGTGTTGTAGCAACCACTGTGATAAACCAAAGAGGACACCTGACAGTTTAAAAATTTAAGAATAGGAGCTGTCTGATTGATTTTAAGTGTCCAAATTTTGAAGGGTACTGAATTTGTGCCATCTCTCGCACAGGTTCAGTAACTTCTAAATGTTTGTGGTTTACCTTGCCTCCGTAATCTGTGAATCCAGCCAAAAATCTTCACTCTCTGACCTCTGTAAGCCTCCAGAGCATCAATCTTTACCTGTAAAGTAGGGAATAAAAGCAATCAAACAGAGAAATCATTCACCATTTAGATGGCATTTGCCACATAATTACTTAGAGTACAAGTGTATGAGACATCTCCCTCCCCAAAATGGCTCCTCCCAGCAGCACTGGAAGCGAAGTTCCAGCCAGGGTATAAGCACAGCTGTCAATACTGAACAGCTGTTTAGTCAGGAAAGAGTATTTTAGCCAGGACAGGCAGCACGTTCGGACAGCATTCCCAGGCTTCATATTGCGTCCTTTCTATTTAGCAGGCTTACTTTGCCACATAGAAACTAAGGACTGTAACAGCTTTTAAAGCTCACTTTGCATTTCACCAAAAGGGGAAGTGCAAACACCTAACAGCTCACACCTTAAGACTAGAGTACTTGGGTACTACTGGAAATCCAAGCTGCATTAAATCACTGCAAGACTTGGACAGGACACCATTTCCTGGCACTCTGGATTAATTTCTACAGACATTCGATAGATGAGTTCCGTTCAGTTAGCAGTCGAAGCAGCAGAGGACCTGGATCTGACACAGGTACCTCTAGACACGTAGCTGAGGTACTGACACTGCTGCAGACAGAACAGCTAACCCCGCAGGTGCCTTCCGAACGGATCACACCTCAGGTAGTCAGGAAGCACTACAGCGCACCGGCATAGAAGAGACTGCGATTTCAGCACAGCCGGGCCCGGCTGCCCCTTTCCCAAAGAGCAGCCATGAAAGCACAGGGCTCCAATCAAAACCATTTTCTACACATGTATGTAGAAAGCCCTTCTACACAGGGCGTATACAAAAACCCATCACGGAGCAGCATGCGTAATACCTGCTTACTCAGCTAGGGACTGCACCAAAGCCAGCAGGACTCTACAAATAGCCAATGGGAACTTGTCTCAGTGACTTAAATTACATCCTCTAACCAGCACTGTTCCTCCACTCTCCACCACTACAATAATCAAACAAAGCAAACCTAATGAACTTTTTCAAACAGAAATATGGTCTCCACCAGTAGACGAACACAGACACAGAGAAGCCTGACATGTGAACTAAGAAAGTTTAGATATCCATCAAGTGCATGAGAAAGCAAAAGTCTATATACTAGAGGACACAAATAAGCAGAAAACAAAGTTACATTTATGGACAGCAGGAAGACAGTGGCCTCCAACAGCTTCCAGAGCCACAGAGCAGAGACAGACTCAACCTTTGTGCAGACAAGACGCTCTAACACAGGCCACATATCAAGCCCACTGGATCGTACTCACACATTTTGGCTCTGGAAGACTAGGATCATTCTTGATGATAACCTTCTTAGCTTCCTCCAGGTTCTTCTCTCTCCTCAAGAGATCTTCTGCCTGGTTTGGGGGGGGGGAAGTGTTAAATAGCTGTAACCAGGCTTTGGAAGATTACAATCACTGGAGACTATAATGTACGCTTACAAACACATATGTCATAAAAAGCCTTGATGTTACCCTGCTGAGACCTAAACCTGCCCTAATTCAAGACCAGGATGAGAAACAATGCACAGATGCGTTTTACATTTTTTCCAGAAAGTCTAAAGGCAAGAGATTGTGATTATTCAGACCTCACCCAGTTTCAGCCATGGGCTTGTCCTAATCTAAAGAAAGACAAGTTGTAAATAACATATGTGTAGAACAATGACACAGATGAAGAATAAACTGGAGCTTTTTGGGAGGGATGGGAATGACAGCAATGCTGTTCAATGTTTTTGGAGAAGAAAGGTGGTATACTTCCTCCAACTTGGCATCATCTGTAACCTACCTCCTTCTTCTCCTTGGCATCATTCTTCATTTGTTCCCTGTGCCACAGTTTTTTGACATTTTTCATCTGTGACTTTGAAATAACGGCCCATCTCTAAATCAATCCAAGGAGAGAGCAGAAGAGAAAAGATTACATTTGTGTCCCTTTACACAAAGAAGCATTAAAGTAATTTCTACTGGGAAGCTCCAATGTTACAGCACCTCATTTTCTTTTTGTGAATCCACATAAATAGTAGGAAACGGTTCCTTTCCTGCTGTCATCAAAGCCTAAAAGGGCAGAAAACAGCAGAATCAATAGCACTGCGAGTGAACTCAAGTCACCCTTAAAGAGACTGAGCAGACATCCTGCTTCAGATCCTTCTGGTCAGAGTCGCAAAAACTGGTATAAAACTCACATTTAGAAATGCAAGGCCAATCACTTGGCCTAAAGCACAGTTCACACTCTTCAAAGCAAACAGCAGGCGTTTTCCACAGTTACCTTTAAAACGGTCTTGAATGGCTTCTTTTGTGTCCCATCACCAGTGGAATCGTTGCCTTCTCGTTCAGAAACATACAGCTCTTCTGTAATACGTGACAAATACAGGCAATTACTCAAAAAAAAAAATTATCAGCTATGGAAATGTTCAGGAAGAAACTAGACACACACACAACGATAAAAAGTTTTCATGGTTATCAGCGGCAATAAACCTTCAAAACCAACCAGCTGGTCACACAGGGTAACGATTATTTTTCTCATTCTAAAAATCAACCCATGCCATATGTTATGCTAAAATCTTACAGACTCCCAAGATACTGAACTCCTGAAAGTCACTGACTGCAGATCAGGAACCAAAGAGGGAGCAGCCACGTACAGAAATAACTGTTTCTAAGCAAGCAGGGAGACAGTTGAGCAAAGCCAGGGTTCAGGACAAGGTTTAGCTCGCTCGTAGCCAAGAGATGAATCACACGGTAAAGGTACAAGCACGCTTCCTCCTTTTTGCCCGGGCCGGGGCCGAAGGTAACGCCCGAGCCCGCGGTCCCTGCGCCCCGGG